GGGGGGGTGGGTGGGGCACGCGGGCAGCACGTGCGGCTCCAGCCGGAGGGCGGGAAAGCTGGAAGTGAAGAACAGGCCGCAGTGCTGCTCTCTGGAAACAACCCCCTGAAAAGAAGAAAAACAAGATCGGGGAAAAAAACCCCAAGCCCATGTATTGCTTTTAAATTAACGTCAGTTGTTTCCCTGTGCAGTAACACAGCTTAGACACCTAATGTTTTAAGAAATAAGTGAACTTAAAAATAAAACTCAGGAATGCATTTATCTTTGTAATTCACTTTAATGGTATAAACCTTGTTTAGGTAGTAGTATTAAGCCACAACAACATAATGCCACATTTAAACAGCATTTAATAAAATGCATAAGCTAAATCATGCACTGCAATACTCTATATACAAACACAACAATGCAAATTCCTCTTCATGACTGAAGACACTGATTAGATATAAAATTCAGATTAAAAAAGAACATGCTATTCTTAAATGCTATCACACATAACAATCCTGATTTCACAAAAGCTGTGAGAAATTAAAAACTTTGCAAGGTTTTGAACTTGAAATTAAAATACAATAACATAAACAATAGTTTTCTAAATTATAATGAACAGAGACTTCCAGAAAATGTCCCAAGGAATTAAAAGTAGATGATTCTGCTTATAAAAATTGGCCGTTTTTGTAGGAGTTCAAAAGAACTCCCTGTTACACTAAATAGATAAAATACTTAGACCATGTGCAGTTTTTCAGTTATGAAACTGAACACTGGCTTGCAATGTATTTTGGAGTACAGATTAATTATTAAAAATATTCACACATTAAGTGCTGATTCCAGTATGAAAATTTAACATACATGCTCTGTACATAACACGTTTTCTTTTTAAAGAATATCCGTTTTATTTTAAATTTATTCAGTCCTACTTTTAACCTCCAATAAACAAAAATATTTTAAGTTGGCCCTATGCTTCATTATAATTTCTCTAAGATCATTCCGGATGTACAGAAGCCAGGTATTGGGGTGTGCTGTGACTTCCCTTTCTGCGCTCACACAGAAAAGCTGGTGTCACATTCCCCAGTTCCCACACAACGTTACAACACAGCCTTTCTTGCCACTTCAATGTGAAACCATTTTGTCCTTTAGGATACAAACAAAGAGTACATGAAACAAGTTCACAATTTTAAAGTATGCCCTTTTTTCTAAATACAATTGAATTAGTAAACGGATTCAATCCCAATCAATACCTCAACTGGCTTCCTAATCAATAGAAATGTTGCTGCAGTATCAAGACATTAATAAGATATTGAGGTTTCTATTCCGCTTTCAGAGAGGAAAGCAACTGTTCAAACACCACTGATTGTCAAGACATCAATGAAGGACCATCTGTCACAGGAATTCCTGCCAGTAAATTA